CCCCAAAACCCCAAAACCCCAAAACCCCAAAACCCCAAAACCCCAAAAATCAATAATTTAAATAACTAATTTAAAATGATGAGACCTACTTCCTCCTACGCAGGAATCCGGAAACCTAAAAAACTAAACCCAAACAAGAACAGGCGCAGACTAGCGAGGTAAGCCCTCTTTAAGCTGTAAATCCCACACAAATTTAGTGCCAAAGGGACTAAGACTGCAGCCAACCCGTTCAGAATTCCCCCTGACTCCAAAATATTTACGTTCAAGGATGAAGAGAAAGCTCAGAAGTTGGCGAAAAGGAAGAGTAAGGGCATTCGGTGATCTGTGTAGGAAATGCTACCCTTCGGGCATGGGAGAAAGACAAACCTGACCGTGAAGGCGTCCTGAGAGAGATCCGGGATATTGATATAGACCTTAATTTTCAAGGGAAGGATAAGAGTAGACATTATGAGTCGGATAATGCGGACTTTCAGAGTTTCCCAGTGAAGAACCGGAAAAAAGAAAGTAGACACCAGATCTTGGAACGGAATAAAAACATCTTTTTGATCGCACAAATGTTGTCGATTAAGCAAGATGAGATTCAGAAATTAGAGGATTTTCAGACGTTGAGGTCTGAGGGTCTGAAATTTTATCAAAATAATCTTAATACAGACATTAAGGATTTTGTTGAGTAAGATTCACTCTATCTAATCGGCCAATGTTGGTTAACCTAAATATTTTCCAGCCATAAGAATTCCTTACTTTGAAAAGCCAATTCTTTGCGTTAGATGTTTAGCTTTCTAATTAACCTCAATGGGTCTTAAATCCAACATTTTGTTAATTTTGGTTTAAAGGTACTTCAAGACGAACAGAGAAAAGACTCGTAAAGCCAGACTCCTTCAGGATGAAAGACTCAGAGAGAAGAAAAATAGAGATGCTGAAATAAAAAGATTAACGAATGAACTCCAAGATTATAGGACCAAGATTCACCAGAGTGAAGAGAAGCTAGTCAAATATGAGAAGATACGCTCTTCCTTGTTCTTCAGGAATTCTAAAAATAGGCTAACTGCTTCTAAGGAGCCTCATGAGCCCACTTCTCAAGCTTTGGAAATTCAAAAGAATGACAGATTAGAGCATTCTAATAGTTATCAGATTGATGGAGGACCTAAGGTACCTTCTTTGTGACTCTTTATAGAATACTGATGTAAAGTCTCAAGAATATATTATAGGGATTGGGAGCAGCAGATACTTCGTTGAATTTGGAAAGATCTTCACGGTCAGTTAATCGAAATCCTCGGAAAAGAGATGCCTTAGGTAAAATAGCTCTATTTTCTCAAAATTTAGCATTTCCGCTTTATTCCTCATTTAAAAATGTGAGAAATTTTCAAAATGATATCTTAAAATTCCCAAAAATTAGGATCTGCATTTTAAAATTTTAAAAACCAAAATATTTATTGTGTGTCTTAAAAACCCTAATGCATAGCAACGAAACCATAGTTTTTGAGCTAACATCTTTATAAAATTGTACAAATCCTGAAGCTACGATGCTTATTATGGTATAGAACTACTGGAGTCAAACCCTTCAACTCAAGAAGAGAAGATTAAAATATTCAACAAAGTAATCGATGAGTTAAAAGATATTCTGGAAGATGATAAGAACTACTTCCTTATCCAGCAGATCCAAGAGAGGTCTCAGGCTCTTGAGGAGAAGGAGAAAAGAATGAAGGGGTCTACGCAGTCTTACCGAAGGCTTAGCTTCAAGGAAGAGGCTATGTAAGTCACCTTTCTCTCATGTTCTAATTGATCAATTCCGATCTCCTTTTACCTCAAAATCACCCCAATACCTCATGGCCCAGACCTCAGCTATCATCTCACCCTCTTAAAAATAGGTCATACGTGCTTGAAATCCAGCAGCTTGAGAAGCTGGACGAAGAACTGGACGAAAAGAAACTCCTCAAACTTCAAAAACAATACGAAAAACTCGACTCTTTCCAGTTCAACGAAGTCGACGGCAACCTCGTACGCCTCCTCTCTCACCTATAGAGCTTACTATTCACTGAGGACGTAATAAAGGAGGCCAAGAAGAGTAAAAGCTCCTTGGAGTACCTAACCCAGCTTGAGAAGAAGGTAAGCAGCCCCAAGTGACTGAATAGATGGAACAAGTGGTCAGGATGTACCCTTCGTTGAACTTGAGGCGTGAGAAGTAGGGGAATGAGTGATTTTGTAGGGAGAAGAAGAAGAAGGAAGAGAGGAAGGCAAGGAAGGAGGCCAAGTTGAGGTCTATGCAGGAGGGGGGTGGCCAAGGGGTTATGAAGATGGGCGCGAATGGATGGTATCCTCTTAACCTTGTTCTAACCAATCTAGGATGGGCAGCCTGGGCATGAGCTCTCTGAGGACAGGCAAGCCACTGATGCAAAGGTCGAAGCATAAGCAAGCCAAGAAGAAGAAAGTTAAGCAAGAGTACACCACTGAGGAGAAGGATAGACTGTATTACTTGGGCCTCAGTCTTAATTAGAATTTCAACGTGTGATGACTTTTGGGGTTTTGGGGTTTTGGGGTTTTGGGGTTTTGGGG